TCATCTGTGCCCGGCTTTTCAAGTTTGTTACAACAGCATCAACCGCCATTGTTATGCCACGCCTTAGGTCCATTGCATTCATTCCTGCAGCAACAGACTTGCATCCTTCGGTAAAAATTGCTCGTGTAAGCACCGTTGCACACGTAGTCCCTGAAAAAGATGTCAATAAATTCACGACTCAACTCTCTACATAAAAACTACATACATGAACTCGAATATGAAGGTGCAGGCTGAATGATTTAATACAGACAAAAAGGATGCATCTAAACTAGATTTAAAGATCAATAACCACAAGTATCTAAAAAAGATTCGATGATTTCAAACGAACTTTATTTTCTTACCATCACCCGCTGTATCATTAGTGGCATTTGCAACTTGTTTCACAAGACTCGCACCCACGTTCTTGACTTTGTCTTTGAATTCAATGCTCTTCGCAACAGTTGCACCATCTTTAGTCACTTTGGGGGCACCATAACTTTGTTCGATAACCACATTACGCCCCTAAAGTGAATTAAAAAAATGACATTCAACAATAGTTTCATCGCACTAAACCGTTTCAATCAATGATTAACCTCGAAACATTGAACTAATACATAAGACTGAAAATGGTGAATACTGAATATTGGATTTACCTTATGACTCATGGTTACTCTAACAGCATCAGCAAGCTCTTCAACACCTTTAAGCATCAAAGCTCGAGCTTCAACCCCAAATTTAATATCTTTTGCTGCATATCTCCTATTCCAATTCGATCTACTACCAATCTAACTGAATCATGAAGTGTTGAAATTTAAGGAATATAAATGAGGACGGCTAGAAAAGATGATAATATGAAGTTTCAGGTTAGGAATGAAGGTAACTTACAGTCATAGGCTACGAACGGCAAAGGGACAAGATATAGACAGTTCCTGAAAGCCACGGCAGCTGTTCTCCGACCTGAAGCATCCGCAAGTGAAAACATCTTGTACCTGAAAATATAAGGAAGCATAGAAAATGAAGTGCAGGGAGGGGGAGAAAGGCCTAATCAGTTGCATTAAGAACTGACAATTCACGTGCAAATGCATGGACATATCTTACATCTTATTCATGAAGAATCATCCCTAATGACTCTTCTGAAAATCTAAACTAAATATATTATTATTTCAGAAAAAAGGTAATGTTCCCATTCTCTTAAGTCAGCATTGGAGATACTTAAAGATCATTTCTCGAAGCCAAACCTAAATTTCAACACAAGACTAAAGGAAAAAGGCAGAAACAGAAATTATCAATTTCCTGTGCATAAAGAAAATAAACAGCTGTTATGTTGAAGGGAAAAAGTACTAAAATGCTTACCCTCCTGCAGCATAGTCATCACGACACAAGTATGCTAGGGCCATAAAATGGGGTATTTGCCAGAAGTAGAGAGCTGCTGGAAGAATTAATCAATTGAGAGATATCTCACCGGAAGCAGCAGCCCATCTAAAAAGTCGGAACAGAAAATAAATAAATAGACGACTGAATACGTTCAAAGAAACTCAAATCGAACTTCTATAGGGTCCTCTATAACCTCTCAACACGCAGTACATATATGTATTAAATCTACAAGAGAGGTTCCACATCTGTTGGGGATCATCTATTCTTTATCCTTCATTTCAAGAAGAATAGGAAAAGGAAGAGGAGGAGAAGAAGATAAAAAAATATAGACAGCACAAGGCAAGTAATTTATCATAAGGACCACATAATATACACAGCATATTGCTGGAGTTCAATACAATAACTTTTAGTTCCAAACTTTTTGTCTATCACACACAAAATTTAACAGGCATGGAAATACTTGACATGGTTTACTACCATACCAAACATCAAAAATAGCAACTAGAAAAGTAAAATTTCTTAGATAGTCATCACAATAATTAAATTTAAGGACAAAATTACCCCAGAAGAGGATGAATAGCACCGATAATAGCTCCAACCCATGTGTTAACAGGGTGAATCTGCTTCAATGGAGTATACACAAATGCGTACAAAATAAGATTGGAAGCTGCAAGGCCGGCCGCCAACATATTAGCCTGCAATAACCTTGTGGCAGCAGCAACATTAGTCACTAAGTTGACATCATTTTAAGCATTGGGTAAAGCTAAAAATATCACATTTTGAAATTAAAGAAATAAAGAAAAGCGAGTGAATTGATCTGGCCACCTTGCATGCCAACATAGCAGTGCCAGCAAGTCCAACAGAAGATGCCCAAGTGACTGCATGTGGCATTGTAATGCGTCCTGAAGGTAGAGGTCTTAGCCTTGTTCGCTTCATTTTGGCATCATTATTTATCTCAAAAACCTGAAGGCATGAATACCATTGGTTACTGAAATGCCAGTCAATCTAGTTAATTCATGAAAGTAACTTAAAATACAACCACCATGCAACATCACATCCTTGCAACATTAACCAACTCAAATGTAATAAAAACATAGTGTTCAAGAAAGAAGGTAAAAGGAAATTACATTTCTTTACAAAACATACTTCCAAATATCTAAGAAAGAACAATTTTATCAAACATCTAAGAACACTTAACTCCTCAAGAAAACATTATTAAATGTGACTTTGTTTCGGAAAAAAACCCCTATCAGTTAGCACTCTTGCAAGTATAAATAACTTTGATAATTCAATCAGATCAATCAAAACTTTAATTCAGATTTCTCGAATTCTAAAATTGCGCATAACAAAGCATTCAATGAAAACAACCAAAGATTTAAAAGACAACCTGATTCAACGAATTCGCCGAAGCAGCAACCAGCATGATTCCAGCACAAGTACAACAAAGACCCGCCACATCAACGGCGTTTCCACTCCCTATCACATATCCAGTCCCAGAAGTCGCCACCACCAGCATACTAGTAAATCGAACAACCCAAAAAAGTCAACATTTTTAATCAAATCCGTCAAAAAATGCCTAAAAAAATCATGATTGAGGTTTGACCTGAGACGAGCCTTGGAGAGCTCCCAGTAACACCGACCGTAGTGACGCATCACTAGCTCTGAAACTCAAGGGCCGAAAGGCATCGGATTTGTTAGCGAGAAACCCTAGCTTCAAAACGGAGTCCGATGAGGGAGTCGGTGAAGTCGCCGCCGATGAGGAGTAGAAGCGTTGATGAGAAGGAGAAAGTGTGTGGTCTACGACGACGTTTGGAGTGAAAATTGAGAAATCAGATGTGTAATGGAAGTAATTGAAATTGGTAGAGGAAGAAGAAGAAGATAGAAGCTTAATGTGGCGGAGTTTCGCCACATGATTTTGTTCTTTCTCCTAAGAGATTTATCGAAGTGAAACTCCTGAAGAAAAATTTGGGGATTTTAGATGTTCATTTTGGGTTGTCGAGTCGATGGACGTCGCCCGTGGAAGTCTTCAAGGTGATCAGCTTTTATTAGGTAACGAATTATTCGAATTAATTTCTATTATAATATATAATTTTAAAAGTTTTAGATTATATTTGGAGATTTTTTTTTTTTTTTGGATGAAATGACTTTTGTATTTGTATGTGATAAAAAAAATAAGTGAATTGAAAATTTTGAGTCAAACAACTTCGGTAACAATGGTGGTTGATGACAATCGACAGTCATAGTGGACTGGGGCATATAATAAGAGATTTTATCAGATTCAAAGATTAAATTGATTTTTATATGAAATTTAAGAATCAAATTTATATTTTTATTTAAAATTGATTAATTAAAATAATATTTTATCTATTTTAACACTTCTGTTTCATGCATCTACTTATCAGTTATCAGGGTCGGTCCTAAGCTCAGGTGAATGCGACCGCTTAGGCCCAGGTTTAGAGGGGTATTCTTCCCAAACATTTTTAACCACGCAAATCACAAAATCACGTACGAGATGTGAAAATAAAGCTCTTCGGAAGCTTGAAGCAAGATAATGATGATGATCGCACCGAATGGGAAACATTAGCTCAATCTCTCAGGGTAAGAGCTTTCTCCTTTCTTTACTTCAGGTTTATTCTATCCAAAGAGTTGAAGAAATGCTTCTTTATTAGTCATCATCCTCTCTCCCTAAGCATTACTTTCGCCACTTTCTGTCGAAGTGTTTATAAGTCTATAATCCTAGTCTAGCTTATAGGCTTTATTAGCAAATTGGCCCCTAAACTATACCCCAATTCCCAGATTTGTACCGATTTTTTTGGGTCAGAAGTGGTGCCTAAACTATAATTTTTTCTCATTTTACCCCCAAAAGGCGTATGACATCTGTTAAGAATGTGTCATGTTCGTATTGGCTGTTTTTAGGGTAATCTGGGAGCACATTGAGAGTTCTGACAAAAACGTTTCAGTACATCTAGGAATCTGAAAAGTTCAGGGACCAATTTACTAATGGAGCCAGCATATGTCGGATTGAGTGTTTTGTTTGTTTCCTGATAGTGGTATGCTTGTAGCAATGTAATAGGTAGGAATAAGTTGTGAAAAATTTATGTATAGCTATTCCTAAAAAATGATTTGCAGCACCCAAGTTAATTAGCTTTTCAAGAACTAGCTGATCATTGTTGTATAACTGTTTAAATGGTTGTCAAACATGGTGGAGAAAGTTTTGTGCCCTCCATTTTTAGCCAGGTTTATTCTTTAATGGGAGAAGTGTGTGATTGTAGCTTGTTCCAGCGAATTGTGTTTTAATTGGCAAATGATTCCTGAAACTAGATGCAAATACCTCTAAATCTAGGGCTGGATATTGCAAGAATATTCTCCATTTAGTAGTTTGAAACTGCTCGACTTAGGCTGTCACTAGTGCTATGTACCTATTTTAATATGTATCATGTGTTCCTTGGCAGTCTGAGTACCCTAAGTACACTCCACTGCTTGCAAAGATCTTGGAAGGTTTTCTTTCGTGAAGCAATAGTGGGGGCAAAATCGATCATTACAAAGAGGCGAGTCGTATGAAAAGCAGATTTTGGAATGAGAATACCGATGACTCACTTGAGTGGTATGAATGTTTGCTTTCCTTAACTAGATTACATCACTGAACTTTGCAGGTTATAAGTGCAGCAAATGAGGTGGTTGATAGTATTGACAGAGATGAATTGGCAAAATTCTTTTCACTTAAATGTGATCCTGAGGATGAAGATGCAGAGGTCCGATTTTAAATTGTCAAATTGCCCTTCCATCTGCCCTTTTCATTATTTCGCTCTTACTATGCTGGACATCCTCTTAGTAAATTCAGCAAAGTGATGTTTTAAGTAAAATGTATAATTTTCTTGATTTTTGTTTTTCAATGTTCATGATGGTCTTCAATGTGTTTCTTGTGCTGCAATCTCATTTATGCTTTTGTGTTGCCCTTCTAGTGCATTACTAGCTGTTTTGCAATTGTGGTTTACACACTAAGTTCCGACCCGTCTCTTTTTCCCCCAGAAAATTAAGAATAAGATGGAGACAACTCGTGATCAACTAGCAGAGGCACTTTACCAAAAAGGACTGGCGATGGCTGAGATTGAATCTGTAAAGGTAATGATTGGTTCTTCAATTTGACGGGGTTGATTAAATTCTTTTATTGAAGAATGGGATGGTATGCCATATCTGCAATTGTTTGATACTGATATCAACATGGTTATGGGAGTTTATGCATTAGAAATTAAAACAATGATCATTGCCATTACAGGGTGAGAAAGCTGGGGGCTCTGATCAGCCAGACTTATTCGAGGAGAACTTTAAAGAACTGACAAAATGGGTAGATATAAAGTCATCTAAATATGGCACCGTCTAATTTGTTTGGCGTTTAATTGTAATAGAATCTACTCGTATAATTTTTAATGAAAAAATTTGTTTGGCGTTTACCGAAATTTATTCTTGAATTTTAAATTATTTTTTTAAGGGTCATTATCTCTTATTTTGCCTAGGGCCGTTAAAATGTCAGGACCGGCCCTATCAGTTATCAAGTGGTTTTGGTTTTGGTAGTGTGTTTCATGTGTCTACTTATGCACGTATTTGATAATTTGCATCTTTACTCATATACCTGTTAACCAGAAAACTCGGTACAAAAAACATTAAAACTTCATGAGATTCACACACCACTTCTCTTTGCAGTGGTTCTCTTTGGTTGCAACACAATGGTCAATCATACATTGGATGCAGCTCTGGTTTGCTCTGCGTTGTAACATCCTGTGCTGTGTATGTGTTGATTTGCATTGCAGAGCTTGTGTTCTTTGCTTCATAAAGTCTACGTACAGTGACAGACGTAAGATTTTATATTGAGGGGAGAATTTAAATTTTTAAAATTTTAAGAGGTTAGACTTGAATTTATAAAAATGTAAGAAACGAAAACAATTTTTTAATAAGAATACATAAAAAAATTCAAGAGGTCCCTATCCATCCCCCTCGATATTATTATTTAAAAATTCACTTAAGATTAAAAAAAATTCACTTAAGATGACGTCATCAATTAATCAATTTCCTTTTTATAATTGACAATTAATTTGTATCTTTAAAGTCTAATCCTCTGTTTTGAAAACCGGATCGGACAGGCCGGTTTAATCAGAAATCGTTGTTAAGTCCGGTTTAATCTAAACCGGTTGAATCGTTATTAGTGAACCGGCTAGAACCGTTGAACCGTTCGAACCGGACCGGCTGAAAACCGAAAAAAATCGGGAAAAACCGGGATTTTTGTTTTTTTTTTAAAAAAAAAAACAAAAACCAAACAACGTCGTTTGTTAAACGAGCCAAGTCGAACTCGAGTATTGCTGAGCTCGACTCGAACTTGAAAACTTTAAAAGTAAGCTCAACTCAACTCAAACTCACAAGCTAAAAATTATCAAGTTCAACTCAAACTCGAAATATAATATTGAAACTTGAACTCAAAAAGGCTTGAACTCAAAAAAAATTAGAAGCTCGATTGAAGCCTAAAATTCGAGCTTGATTGAAGTGAAAGAATATTTATATAATTATAGTTATATAATTTTGTTATGATTTTTTTAACCCCAAATTTATTTTTTAATTATAGTTATATAATTATATTTGTTATTTAATATGTTTTACCTTAAAATATTATGTTGTAGTTAATTTGAATCATTTTATTTCACTTGATTTTATGATTTTTAACTTATATATGTTATGACTTGCTTTGAATATGACTTGTGATATAAAAAATTATTTTTTATTAAATATTTTTGGTATTTTATTTAATTTTTTAAATAATTATGACGTCGTCCGGTTCTTCCGACCGATCGGACCGGTTCGACCGGTTGAACCAGTGAACCGGTAGCATGACCGGTTCGATAACCGGTCCGGTTCTGAAAACCATGGTCTAATCTTTCTTATCACTACCAAATAAAAAAAAATCCAGCAGAAAATAACAAAGAATATTTAGAGAGAAATAATAGTAATAAGAATAACAAAAAATACAATATTTGCTAGTTTGTTGTTTACAAGGAACTAGTATAACATTTGTAGTTAATGCTGCAGGATTTTTGTACTGTCACTAAAATTAGAAGGCTGGCTGGTACCTTAATCCTGTAAAAATTGGAAGGCTGGATCCTCCATAAGTTCTTCCGCGGCTCTTACTTGTGCGTAATCCTTGACTCGTTGGGAACTATGGATGTCGTCCATTGTGAACGGAATGCTACATTCAGAAGGGGTTAATCGATTAGGAAGACGAATCTTCAACATTCGATATTGGAGTAGCTGAAATTTGACTTTGGTTTTAGTTATATTACCTCAGATCATCCTCCAGCAGGAAGGAGTTGCTGCCATCGTCGGACTCGTCAGTCATAAATTGCTTCATGCGAGAAAGGACCTGTTCGTGCGAACGAAGGTCATACCGTACGAAACGAAATGAAGAAACGAAGACTAGGTAGAGAGAAGTGCCAAACAATTTGAGGATATGACTTACATCTTGTGAAACACTTTGAGTGTTGTATTTGTCATCCCTGTAAAGCGTGCATACCCTATAGAGCTGTTGAACGCTCAGGCCCTGGAGAAAACAAACAACGTAAGAGGAAGAAGAAACCGTAACTCGAAACATTTCGGAGGATAGCGAGAAGAAAGGGGAAGAGAGACTTACATTACAGAGGTCATTTGCTATTTCTTCGTAGGTCATTTTGGATTTCTGATTTATAACCTGGGAAAGACAAGACCGGGTTTTTCGAAACAGAGCAATAAACCATGAAACAGTCCACATGACATGCACGAGCACGACACAAATAGTTGAGCATGTCAAAATCTAAGCTATACAAAGAAACATACCAAGAATCCAACAGCTTGCCTTGTGTGTTTGAGTTCATCCCATGCCGGGCCTACATACTGTAATTAAACAACCATAAACTCTCAATCCAAATTTAGAAATTACTTCAAACACTGTGAAAGTGCCACCTTTCATTAGTGGGAACTAAAGAAATTACCTCATGGTCTGCTTCGGCACACCACATTTCCAGTTCAGCTAAGCCAGACTTCACATACTCCCCGTTGCTAAATGTGCAGCACTCTCGACGGAGAAGAAGGCTGTAGCAGAAAATTTTAACATCATATATTTTGAAATTTGTTCTTATTATATAGCAGAATATTTTAACATCATATATTTTGAAATTTGTTCTTATTATATCATCTAGATTAACGGGGAAAAACAGACAAAACAACCCTTTACCTGTTAAACAGCTGTACGTTAATATATGCAAAAGTTTGAGTGAAAATATTCTGAACAAATACTGGAGCCACCTGGAAATAAAAGTGCCATAACCATAAGTTCATGGCTCAAAAAAAAAGGGGGGGTCAGAAAGTGTCCATCAGAATTGCAAATTATATACAAAGTTTTCTTTTAATATGCTCATCATCCTGTTCAGGCACTCGATAATGGCCTTCCAGTGACTAGCTGGAGATGTATAGCCTTGTTCTACGGACGTTGGAAAAGCAGCTCCTTTCGACATCCTAGGTACCTGACATGTAGGGCGATGAATTAGAAGCATAAAAAAATAGCAATTCAAAACACTTGTGCAGAACATGATATTGTCATGTAGAACCTAAATATGTAAAAGAATGAGGTAAATAAGCTTAACAAGTAGACGCGTCTCTCACTAAAATAATTGCTCAAACCATTAATCATTCTCTTTGAGGATTTCAAACCAAGCAGGCAGCAAAAGGTAAATTGCAGATAAGTTAAAGGAGAGCAGCTTGTGATAGTTTCACATGTAAAGAGCAACCTAAAACGAAACACATGATTTTTCGTAAGAATGATTTAATGCTTTTGAATAAAGATTTGAAATCAAAATGAATTAACACACAAATAGATTTCAGTCAACAGTACAACATACATGATCTACAAGTTCAAACGAAGCAATCTGGAAAATATCTAGTGTGCAAGGCACTATAGAAGCTAGGGTGATGGTTCCAAAAATAATTATCAGAAGGACCGCCATACTTTCTCTGGCATATTGCAACTATCATGATTTTGAAAGCAAAGAAAATATCATGAAAAGACGCGATGATACAAATGTGTAGCTCCTTGTACCTGAATACAACGAGAATAAGTGGTGCCAGTTCCTTTTTCAGGTTCTCTCTAACGATACCATAGATCTTTTCTACATAGGCGGAGAGCTGCTGCTTAAAAAGAAGAGCTGGATACTTGGCCTCAACCTGGGTCACTATACCAGCTTGAAGATTGGCAGAAGATGAACGGAAACTCTGAGAAAGAATATATCAAATATTTTTCTTGCATGAGTTCTAGAATCATTCATCAAAACTGATAATGATTGTATAACAAGATTTTAAATAAAGAACTAATGTGTTTTGTTCTTTCCGCCTTTTGTAGGACAATTCAGAGATATTTAAATCAGGACTATTTCATGCAAACAATTGAAAGAAATGGTAAATGAAATATCACAATACTTTGGTCATCCTTGCAAACAATGATGCTGCAGCAGGTGGTTTCTGTGCTCCAACGGCTTTCAAAGTACGTTGAAGCAAAAACAACAATGAAGATGTGTTTGACAGCCAATAAGCTATGTGATCAGTGTTGTCCTCATCCTGAAAATCATCACATGGAATAAAGAATATTATATTAGATATATTTCCTCATCTTTTCAGTTGCTTAAACCTGCTCAATCAGGAAAAAAAAACATAGTTTAAGAATCAGATAATCTGGCATGAGTCCCTATCAAAGAGAATACTCCAACTGCTTCGGAGTAATTCTTGAATAAGCTAAAAGATCAAGATTGCTATAATAGCTCCTATTATTATCATTATCTTGAAAGAACAATGGTTTATATCGAGGACAAGGATTTTATCTTATACAAAAATGAGCTTTCTGAAATAGACATACCTCTAGTGCAGATCCAATCATCTCAATAAGACGATCAAAAACACTTGTTTTTTCAGCTTCGAATAACTTCCAGTGGAGAAGACATTTGTATATGGTAAGTGCTGCAACAGCCTTTTCTTGACTGAACCCAAGATTCTGCGCTACACAGTTGATCATATCATCTATACTCTCTTGCTGCAAAGAAGATACATACAAAAAAAAGGTTAATCCCTAGAAACGTCACCCGATACAAATACTTGAAAAGAAGAAAAGAAAAGGGAGAATCAGTTCCACATCATTGGATTTCATACTTGATGCCTTTCGGTTTGGGATCTCTTCATTTTACTATCTTCTCTACCAAACTGTTTTGATGTACCCAGTTGTGCCTGTTAGAAAGAGTTTTCCATCTCATGATGATAGAAGCAACAAAGAACAAGGTACGCAGATATATATAATAAACTGAAGTGATCGGAAATTATATAGTCTCTACATTCTTCACTTACATGATGACCATTTTCCAGAGGCTGCAAAGTGAAATAAAGTCCAATAAGGAAAAATCCGAAAAGCAAAAAATAATCAGAACCGGTAAACCAACTGAAGGAAAATAAGGAAAGCATGTTAAGATATATTTCACTGCAGATGGCACCTCTGACATTATTCTACCAGGTGTACTTTGCAATTTCTTGACCCCAGTACCCATGTCCAAAATCTTTTCTTTAAGCCTATTAAAGATGCAAGAAAAAAATATTCAGAAGAAGAAAGCAACTTCCCAGTCAAAGAATGAATAAAATTTACTAAACATTCGTGCATAACATATAAACTTCAAACACACATTATCCAAGTTCAAAATAGGTATAAACCTCTGCACTTCAATTTTGAGCTCAATTATCCTCGACTCTGCTTCCATAGCCTGCTTTAGCCGCTCTTCACTAAGCTTGTGTGTTTCTTCATATCTTCTCTCTGTTTCATTAATTTTCTCTTCCAAGGAACTTACCAGAGCCTGCAATGGGATTGAACAAAAAAGATTTCAAGAAACATAAAGGAAGAATAACAAAGTTTAAAAATGACATCGTGAAAGCCTTTAGTCAAACCTAAGATCTTATTTGAAGCAACAAATGTTTAACAATACCTTCAGCTGCTCATTTTCAGCAGTAATTTCTTTCATCAATTCAATGTCAATAATGGGAATCTCCTTAATTATAGGAACTAGTTCAGTAATGCTTTTTGTAGCTTCATGTTCCTCAACTAGTAACTCTTTTGTTTCTTGAACCTACAATGGCATTGTCCCAAACAAGATTTAAAGAAACATAAAGGAACAATAATTAAGTTTAAAAATGACATCAAAAAAAGCCTTTAGTCAAACCTAAGATCTTATTTGAAGCAACAGATGTGTAAAAATACCTTTAGCTGCTCATTATCAGCAGTTGGTTTATTCATCAATTCGTTGACAATGACGGAGCTCTCCTGAACTGCAGGAACTTGTTCAGCAATGTTCTTTGCAGCTTCGTGTTCCTCAACTAGTAACTCTTTGTTTCCTGAACCTACAACGCCATTGTGCCAAACAAGATTTCAAGAAACATAAAGGAAGAATAACCAAGTTAAAAATGACATCAAGAAAGCTTCTAGTCAAACCTAAGATCTTGTTCTTATTCGAAGCAACAAATGTCTAGCAATACCTTTTGCTGCTCATTTTCAGCAGTAGGTTCATTCATCAATTCATTTCCAATAACGAGGTTCTCCTGAACCGCAGGAACTTGTTCAGCAATGTTCTTTTCAGCTTCACATTCCAGAACTAGTGACTCCTTTGTTTCCTGAACCGACAATGTCATTGTGCGAAGCAAGATTTCAAGAAACATAAAGAAAGAACAACCAAGTTTAAAAATGACATCAACACAGCTTCAAATCAAGCCTATCTTATTCTTGTTCAAAGCAACAAATGTCTAACAATACCTTCGGCTGCTCATTTTCAGCAGTAGGTTTACTCATCAATTCGTTGTCAATAACGGGTTCCTCCTGAACCGCAGGAACTTGTTCAGAAATGTTCTTTTCGGCTTCAGGTTCCTCAACTAGTGACTCCTTTGTTTCCTGAACTTACAATGAGATTGTGCCAAGCAAGATTTCAAGAAACATAAAGAACAGCCAAGTTTAAAAATGGCATCAAGAAAGCCTTTAGTCAAACCTAATATCTTATTTGAAGCAACAAATGTCTAAAAATACCTTCAGCTGCTCATTTTGAGAGGTAAGTTTATTCATCAATTCATTGTCAATAGCTGGGATCTCCTTAATCGCGGGAACTTGTTCAGCAATGCTCTTTGCAGCTTCACGTTCCTTAACTAGCAAGTCTTGTGTTTCCTGAAGCTGAAGTCGCAGTTCGTGAAACTCAAGTTGCTTTTCATTCAAGGTAGATTCAAACCTTGCACTTTCCTCTTCTTGTAACTCTTTGTTTTCTGAAGCTCAAGTTGCAGTTCCTGAAACTCAAGTTCCTTCTTTTGCAAAGTAGATTGTAACCTTTCAGTTTCCTGTGCTAGTAACTCTTTTGATTGCTGAAGCTCAAGTTGCAGTTCATGAAACTCAAGTTGCTTCTTATGAATAGAAGATTCAAACCTTGCACTTTCCTGTTCTAGCAACTCTTTTGTTTGCAGAAGCTCAAGTCCCAAATTCTGCAAAGCAGACTCATACCTTGCACATTCCTGTCTTTTGGATCCCTCAAACTCAAGTTGCATCTTCTCCAAAGCAGCTTCAAACCTTGAACTTTCCTCAACTAGTAACTCTTTTGCTTGCCTAAGATCAAGTTCCTTCTTTTGCAAAGTGGATTGTAACCTTTCAGTTTCCTGTTCTAGTAACTCTTTTGTTTGCTGAAGCTCAGCTTGCAGTTCCTGAAACTCAAGTTGCTTCTTTTGCAAAGTAGATTCAAACCTTTCACTTTCCTGTTTTTTAGATTCCTCAAACTCAAGTTGCATCTTCTGTAAGGTAGATTCATACCTTGCACTTTCCTGTTTTTTGGATTCCTCAAACTCAAGTTGCATCTTCTGCAAAGTAGATTCAAACCTTGCATTTTCCTGTTTTTTGGATTCCTCAAACTCAAGTTGCATCTTCTTCAAAGTAGATTCAAACTTTGCACTTTCCTGTTTTTTGGATTCCTCAAGGTCAACCTGCCCTAATGCATAAATCAGTTAGGAAAAATAAAAACACATACAATTTAGAACGTAGTTTAAAAGACAATATATAATTTTCCTAATGGTTCTTATCCTTTCTATCATGTTTTTCTATGAGAAATCACAAATGAAAGTTAGAAATGGACTAATCAAACAGAGGTGACAAGAAGTTATATCAAACGGATATCGAAGATGTTAATGGATAGACAGATAATTCTATGACAACATGGCTGGAACTGTTGTAAACCTGTGCACTTGTAATAGTAACATTATTATTATTAAGAAAAGCTCTACCCTGGTTCGTTTCTCTAGCTGCAAGCGCCATGTAAGTTCTTCAACTTCCTTTTCCAGCTTAGTTTTGGCTTCTTGGAGGGCACCAGTTTCCCTGGCGGCCTGCAGACAGAGGAACAAAGGAACAATAAATTGAAACAATCATACACATACTTTGAAAAGAATGGTAGAAACTGAGACTAAAAGATGATAATTTCAACAGATACAAGTAACATAAGCAGAAAGGGAGATGATTATTCCATTTCTCAATAAATAGCCGGTAGCAGGGACTGATTCTCGACATTCGTTCATTGTATATAATCAATCAAGATCAGCAGAAATAATAGTAATGTTCGTATAGCAACAGGGATGAAATTATCATCTATGAAGAATTTATTTTTGAAACAAAAATACAAGAATACACCCATTCAAAAGAAAATCATGAGCTTAAACTAATTTGAGAAATGAAAAAATCACCATTCTTAGCTTCCGTAATTCTCTACGTGCAACTCTTGCTCTCCAGGCACATTGTGTGGTAATTGCTGCTTTCTTTAACTTTATATAATAACACCTGGCCATGAAGCGTCTATATCGAGTCTGTAAAATACATGAAATCACATATCAAGCGTGCAACATGAAAGAAAGCATGAGCATTATTACTTTTTCTGAACAGATCAGCCTCAACACAACTATGATAAAACCCAAAATCAAGACTATGCCCATTCTTTTAAAGGTAAAATTCGAACCTAAAACCTACTTGAGAACGATCTTTCTCGTTACATTAGGGCACACCACACTGGAGATTGTTTCTCTTTAGAATTACAACTAGTGATTGGTAGAGTAGAATCAAATGATTAAGCAAAGTAGCAAGAATTTGAAACAACGACATTCTTTTTATATCGTCGACTGATTGTGATATTATGGGGAAAGTAAGCATTAACAAATGGTTGAAGAGAGGGTAAAACGAGAAATCAGAAAGAAAGCTAGTGCCTATTAATGTCAAAAAATGAAAGAAAGTTTTATTTTCACCTGAATTATAGTTGCAGCTTTTGTCTGCCTTCTGAATAGAAGCTCACTACGAGCAACCATCCCACGCATACCTGTTTGAATAGAAATAGCTGAGGAGTACAATTTTTTGTACGCTTTCCTCGCAAGAAACCTGCGTGAATATTTTTGAATTTTCACACTAGCAGCTTCTCTTCTCATCCTCATACAGATGGCGTGCTGCTACACCTGCAAACAGGTTAAAAAAATAAAAGTGAGTAACTATGACAGTAGATATAGGCAAGCAATTCCATCTCCTGATACAATCAGAACATACATGGATGAAATGCTCTTTACCTCTACACAAGGCTTGAATTTGTATGGAAGATAACTTCAACAATGTATAGTATTTACAAGCCAAAAACGTTCGGACTTTTCTCTGTATTAGACTCGCTGATCTTGCTAAAACCTCAGCTCGCAGTGCATCTAGTTCAGCCATCTGACCAGCTCTGAGAAAAACTTTCGTTTTACCGATCTGCAATAGCAGAAAATCTGTAAGGTACAATATTGAACGGTACAAGAGCTAAGTGAAAGAAACAATATGAAAGTGCACTGGATGCCAAAACTTATGCAAGCAGCCAGAAAGCAAGAGATTTGGACATAAATGACATGCATGAACTACTTAAGAAATACACGTAATAAAAAAAGAGAACAGTCCCAAAGTTAATTTTAATAAAATATAAATACTTAATACTGGACGCACCTGATAACCAGTGAGGTTACTCTTCTCCAGAATCTTCTTGCTAGCAGTGACCTCATTGTAGCTACCACTGAATGACATAGAAACAGATATATATTGGGAAATAAACGAGTAATAATAATTTACCTATAACAAGATGAGTGAGAATGCGAAATAAAAACGGAAAAATAATACCCGAAATTCATAACGGAGTTCAACCAATTATGCCTACGTCTCCGGACTGCTGCAGATCTTTTACTAAGAGAGAAAAATTACAGGTGTTTACATAACACTCACTACTCACAAGAAAGCTCTCTAGTATTGGGAGAAAGAAATGATTTGGGATTTTGGGATGATTTTGAAGCTAAATGAGCTAAGGTATTTATAGTTGAAGTTTAAGGACTGATCTTGTAAATACCTTAAAATGTGAAGTTGCTAAAATATAATTAACCCATGTGCCCCCTTTGCTGAAATTATGCTCCCCCTTTGTTGATTTTGGGAGCCACCAACGCCCCCTTATTTGACTTTATAATCTTCCACTTGAAGACTGATTTTAACCTGTCTTCACACCTCGATCAATACAGCAGTATTTCTAGTCTTGTTATTCTAACATGTCAACTGAAGTTGAACACAACTTTAGTTTGTTTGTGGTCACCGTCTTTATCAACATGTCCGCCGGATTTTGAGATCCACTAATCTTTTCAAGTTTTAAAATCCCATCTTCCAGAAGAGACCGGATAAAATGATATCGCAATTGTATATGCTTCGTCCTGGAATGAAAAGACAGATTATTTGCTAGATGAATAGCACTTTGACTGTCGCAATACAAGACATTGTTTTCTTGTTTCTTGCCTAACTCTTCCAAGAAACTTTGGAGCCAAACCATTTCTTTGCTGGCTTCCGTAACAGCGATATATTCTGCTTCGGTTTTGGAGAGAGCAACTATCTTCTGTAGTTAAAAAACTCAACTCACTGCAATACCTCCTAGAGTATAAATATACCCTGTAGTGCTCCTTCTGATGTTAACGTTTCCGGCTAAGTCAAAATCTACATAGCCTGTCAGTATCGTATCTCCACCTTTGAAACAAAGTGTTTTGTTTGTAGTACCCCGTAGATATCTGAGGATCCATTCGACTGCTTCCCAGTGTACCTTGCCCGGATTATTCACGTACTTGCTAACAGCTCCCACTGCATGAGTAATATCTGGTCTAGTACAAACCATGACATACATTAGACTTCCAATTGCTGAGGCATACGACACCTTCACCATGTGTACACGTTCTTCCTCTATCTTTGGTGATTGTTCTTTGGAGAGTCTAAAATGAACACCTAAAGGTGTACTTACTGGTTTAGCATCTTGCATGTTGAACATGGAGAGTACTTTGTTGATGTACTCAGCCTGTGATAACATTAAATTCCTCGACTTTGTGTCTCTCTTGATCCTCATCCCAAGAATCTGCTTTGCAGCGCCCAGATCTTTCATTGCAAACTGCTTCGACAATTTTTACTTCAAGTTTATAATCTTTTGCATGTCTGAACCTGCAACAAGCATGCCATCAACATACAACAATAAAATAATAAAGTTGTCGAACTTCTTGATATAACAACAATGATCTGCTTGGCATCTGGTAAAACCATTGCTACCCATGAAATTATCTAACTTCTTGTACCACTGTCTAGGAGCTTGTTTTAAACCATAAAAGCTCTTCTCCAACCTGCATACCAGGTTTTTTTTGTCTGCCTCTATAAGTCTTCTGGCTGCCTCATATATATTTCTTCCTCCAAATCACCATGAAGGAAAGTTGTCTTCACATCTAATTGCTCAAGACGTAGATTCTCTGCAGCTACAATTTTCAACACCAGTCTGATTGTAGACAGCTTCAAGACTGGAGAGAAAATTTCATTGTAGTCAATACCTTCTTTTTGTTGAAAGCCTT